CCTCGCGCAGCTCCCGCCCGGCCTCGGCCGCGCGCCGCAGCCCCTCCTCGGAGCCCAGGTCGGCGGGCAGCCCCCGCACCAGCAGCCCCGGCCGGGCGGCGCGCAGCTCGCCCTCCAGCTGGCCCAGCGGCCCCGCCGAGCGCGCCACCAGCAGCAGCGCCGAGCCCGGCGGCAGACGGGCGGCCAGCAGGCGGGCCAGGCTCCGGCCGAGCCCCCGCGACGCCCCCGTCACCACGCAGGCCGTCCGGCCCCACGCGCGCCCCGGCTCCATCGCCCGCACCTCTGCCCGCCGCCCCGGACGCCCCGCCGCCTCCCTGGACGGGCCGGGCGGAAGGCGAGGGCGAGGGCGGGGTCGAGGGCGGGCCTCCGGGTGGGGGGCTCTGGCCCGGGGGGAGCCGCAGGAACCGGGCCCGGGAGGCGGAGAGCAGCTCCCCGGAGCCCGCGAGGTCTCCTGCTGGGGCAGAGGTTCGACTAGAAGACCTCCAAGGTCCCTCCTGCACTCTGCCGGGAGAAGGAGGCATCGCCCGGCGCCCCGCATCCCCTTGACTTGCTCCCCCGCTTCTAGGGTTGCCAGGTCTGCTTCCAAAAAATAGCGGACAAGCGTGTGTGTGTGGGGGTTAAGTAGTAAAAAAAGTAGACTGTACAGCTTTAGATTACGTACCATTTCATCGTAAAGCTTTTGAATAAAAAAAAATGTCCACTATTTTGTGAAAAAAAAAATAGTGAACATAATGTGAAAAAAGTGGACTGTCCACTCAAATAGTGGACACCTGGCAACCCTACCTGCTCCCAAGCGGCCTCGCTCTGCCGGGCGGCGCATCCCGGAGGAGACGGAGGCCCGGGGAGACCCTCCAGTCATCGCCCCCCCCTCCGGCCAGGAAACTCTTTGGCGATGCCAGAGTCGCTGAGGAGGGGGAGCCTAGCGCTGGGGGGGGGACACTGGTGAATCACCCCAATGGGGGTAGGACAAGGATCTCTGGGCATCCGGGCCCAACTGCTTTGGGCTGAGACTCGGTTCTCGGACTCGGTTCTTCTGAAGCGGGCTGGGACCCTCCAGGGCCTTGGTGACGAGGCTTTTGCCCGAGGCAGGGGGGCAGAGGGGCCAGTGGGAAAGCCCACCATGCCCCTGCCGGCGTTTCGGAAAACCCAGGTAGTGGGAACCTGCTTCCCTGGGGGTGCTGAGGGATCCCTACGACAGGCTGTCATTCGGCAGCAATTTCATCTACACTAGACTCTGGCCTCTTTCCACCACTTCATGCAGAGAGACGGCTACCATTTTGGAGGCCCTAAAGCAGGGGTCCCCAAACCCCAGTCCGCGACATGCCAATCCACAAAACTACACACCCTCCAGTCCGCGGAAAAACCTCTCTCCACACAACCGGTCCCTGGGGCCCCAAAGGTTGGGGGCCTCTGCCCTAAAGGCCTGTTGAAGTGGCAGCCAGGTTCCCCCCTCCCCCCCTCCTGTCTATCATACTCAGCCCTCAGTCACCCCCTTCCTGGCTCAACTTGGAGGGCATAATCTGAAGAAGGACAAATGATGGTTTAGAGCAGTGGTTCTCAACCTTTCTAATGCCGCGACTCTTTAATACAGTTCCTCATGTTGTGGTGACCCCCAACCCCCCATCCAGCTGGCCGGGGAGGGGGGGCAGGAAGGCTGCTCTGCCGGCTCCGCCCAGCCTGGTTGGAGAAGTGCCATTCCTCTCCCTCTTTCTCTCTCTCTTTCGTCTCTCTCTCTCTCTTTCGTCTCTCTTTCTCTTTCCTCTCTCCTCTCTCTCCCTTTCCTCTTTCCCTCTTTCCTCTTTTTCTCTTTCCTCTCCCCGTTTCTCTCTTTCCTCTTTCTCTCTCTCTCTCTCTTTCTTCCTTTTCTCGCTTTCCTCTTTCTCTTTCTCTGTTTCCTCCCTTTCTCTTTCTCTCTCTTTCCTCTCTCTTTCTCTCTTTTCCTCTGTTTTTCTCTCTTGACAAGAGAGGAAAGAGAGGAAAGAGAGGGCCAATCAGGAGCCCTGCAGGAGGTAAGTCCACCTGAGAGAGAGAGAAAGGGAAGCGAAAGTGCCTCTCCGTCTCTCTCTCTGCAAATGGCGGAGGCGGCCGTGCGGAGACAGATGCGGAGCGGTGTCTTGGTTCCTAAGACCATCGGAAATATGTGTTTTCCGATGGTCTTAGGCGACCCCTGTGAAAGGGTCGCGACCCACAGGTTGAGAGCCGCTGGTTTAGAGCAAGGCTCTCTGTGGCAGCCCCTCCAGTGCTCACATGCCCTGGCCTGACTCTATGGATACTGTACTGAACAAGGACTGTATTCAGTAGCCAAACAGATTTTAATTCAGCGTATCATATAAAGCAAATCTTTGCTTATCTGATGATTATGAGATACAGGCTCTTAATCTTATGATTATCTGATGATTATGAGATACAGTGTTTGAGTGAAACATGCTTAAATTAACTGTAGTGAAATTCTGCAGTTTCCACAAGAACTGAGAATTCGGGATCAGGTCCCAATGGAAGAAGCAGGCTTTTGTCTCCAGTGCCTCAATCCTTTTGTGTTTTATGCCAATTGGCTCCTCTTCGCATCAGCCTGACTTTCACATCGGAGCAGATTGACATCATCCTGGGATCCGCTCAGAGCCCTCTCTTTTTCTGAGGTTCTTCCAAGATGCTGTCTGAGTTTGAGCAGCTAGTCTACACTTCTACCGACTCTGCTCTTATTTTCTGTGCAAATACAAGGATGTTTTGGTTCTTTGCTTTAATAAAGTTTGATCCAGTTCTCTCTTGTGAGATTGGTCTGTCTCCTCAAAAGAAAGAATAGGAGGAGCAAAAGGGCTGATGTACCAGGTGCTGTGCCTCAGTGCTATAGGGCCATATGTATTGAGAGTTTATTTCCTTTTTTATCACTTGCTTTCCTTGTCGTTGAGCTCCGCAGCCCATCTCTTTCACACACTAGTGTTAGGGGTGGACAGTCAGTAAGTGCATCTCCTAGAAGCAGGTGGCGGCACCAGTAACTGCGAAGGCACCCACCAAGGTGGGATGCTAAGACCTCCAGCTTTCGGTACTCTATTTATCACAGGCAGATTAAGGAAGAAGCACTTGAAAAATATTTTGCAATTATTCCTCCATCATGATGACTACGTTGCATTTATTGCCACACATGCTGCTCCCCCAGAGATTAATATCTCAGCAGCTCTAATGACCTGGTGGGCAAACTAAGAGTAACCTGTAGTGGGGCTGGGGACCAGGGAAGCCAGCCCACCCAGAAGAAACTGCAGAATCAGCAGCCGTAGAAGCCCCTGCAAACCCTGTGAGTCGTAACACAGAGAGAGCTTCAGGTGAGAGACGAGGAGGGATCTCCTGGCTGTGTAGTGTCAACCTATGAAACGCTCCCGTGTGCAGTGGGTGAGCCCTTCCTTGCCAGAAGTCTTCAGAAGTAGCTAGTCATTGTGGATTCAGTTTGGGAAAAAAGCACAACATCCAGGAAAAGAACCATGTCCATTGCAAGGATTGTTGGGTTCACGACAAAGAAGGTTCCAAACAAAGAGAAAGGATTATTAGAAGTTGAGGGGTACAAGGCAGGAAATCCTAGATTGGCTGGCCAGTTTGGGGAAGCTGGGAAGGTCCTGGCCAGGGCAAGGGTGTGGTTTGAGTTACATCCACTCATTCCACTGTTCAAGGTTACAACAGTGCTGAACAAGCAGGACTTGCGACCGGTCCTTGAAATTGCAGCCATCGTGGCGCCCCCTGACCATAGGAGGACCATTTGCAACCTTCTTACAACAGTCATTGGGGAAGCCAGCAGGAGTCATTGGGGAAGCCAGCAGGAGGCTGCAAATTGGTCCTGTGAGTAGCTGCCGCTCCTGCCATCTTTTCAGCTGCCTGCATTCTGAGGCACCCACTGGCCTGCCATTCCGTTCCTTCCCATGTCGTGGTCGTGTGAGGTCATCGCTCAACGACAGCATGGCCCTGGGGTTGCCAGGGCAACAGGATGTCCTCTGGGATGCCCTTCGCTAAGTAATGCAGCCACACCAGGTGCTTTACGCAAGTCCCCACCTCCTGAAGGTGCTAAGACTCATGCAGTGAAGCAGGGGTTGAACTCCGGAGTCCTTCCATGTCTTCTGGGGAAAAGACCCCAGGCCAGAAGGGCCTCTCCTACCCTGGGTAGAGGGAGACAATGACATGAATATAAGGACTAGATCTACTCGGTACTTAAATTTACACTGAAGAGCTATGGGGTAGTAAGAAAATCACAATTTTCACAGAGAAAAAAAATCCAGCGGGATTTCAGGAAGGTGCTGCAGGCCAGAGGCCTCCAACCTTGACCACTTTTAAGACTTGTGGACTTCAACTCCCATGTTCTCATGCTGGCTGGAGAATTCTGGGAGTTGAAGTCCACAAGTCTTACAGTTGCCAAGGTTGGAGGCTCCCAGCTCAGTCTAGACCAGGGGGGGTCTTCAAACTTGCCTTTTATGACTCGTGGACTTCAACTCCCAGAATCCCTCAGCCAGCCATGCTGGCTGAGGAATTCTGGGAGTTGAAGTCCACGAGTCATAAAAGGGCCAAGTTTGGTCTAGAGCAGTGTTTCTCAACCTTGACCATTTTAAGGTATGTGGACTTCAACTCCCAGAATTCCACAGCCAGCAATGCTGGCTGTGGAATTCTGGGAGTTGAAGTCCACATGCCTTAAAATGGTCAAGGTTGAGAAACACTGGTCTAGAGAGTCCGAGAAAGCCTTGGTGTCAAAAGTAATTATGAGAAGGAGGCTGGGGCAGGACAGAGACTTGGCAGGGGATGGACTCGGTGACCTCTTGGGGCCCCTTTCCTCAGTATTAGCTCCATCGAGAAAGCGGGGGAGGAAGAGGGTCCCGAGAGGTCATGCACTCCAGCCTCTGGGCAGAAGATCTCACACACACACACACACGGAAGGCCCCGGGGCGGAACGGCCGGGCGGCGGGCCGCGTTTCCGGGGGGAGGAGAGAAGAGGGCGCTCGCTCGCTCGCTCGTGCGTGCGTACGCGTGCGTGCGTGCGTGCGGGGCGTGGCGCGCGGCGTGGGCGTGGCCGGGCGGCGTTGCCATTGCGACGGCGAGGAGCGGGCGCGGCCCGCGATGGCGGAGCCGGAGAGCCTGGAGGCGGCGGCCGAGCACGAGCGGATCCTGCGCGAGGTCGACAGCACCGACACGGCCTGCCTCGGGCCCACCCTCAGGTGCCGCCCCCCCCGCCCCCTCGCGCCGCCCCTGCGGAACTCCCCGCCTCGGGAGCCGGGACC